CTCTCTACCCTCCCATGTTCTTATTTTTGTTAAGCATTGGGGACAATGCTTATTTTTATTCGAGGGGTGGTCTATTTTGATTGATTGACATTGACACGTGGCCTGTAATAACTCTTATACTTTTTTTTTCTTTTATCTTTATTTTCTCTTTGGTGTGTATATATTCTCCCCCTTCGTTTGATGTATATATTCAGTCTCCCTTATGTATATATTCATTTTACTTCGGTTTGTATATTCATTTATCTTGCTTTCCGTAGTTTATTTCGTAGCTTCTTTACTTTGTCTTTCTTAGTAGTATAACTTCTTATTTACTTTAGTAGTTTCTTTTTGATTAGTTAGCTTCTTTTTACGTTTGAGTGATCAATAAGCCTTTGGTTTTCTTAATGCCATGGTTCTTTCCAAAGGTGGATTTTGTGTGAACTGGGTGGCTCTTCCCAACGATGGATGGCGTGACAACCTTCTTAAGGGATTGAGTCCGTTTTCTTGTATGTTTAGGCAAATATAGTAGTAATGAATAAAAGGGTCTCAAGCATGCTTCACTTGGTACCAACACATTTACCTCTAACCTTATGGTTAAAAACAAAGTTGTTGGCATAAAATAGCTCTAGTTGTGACCTTTTGACTCTTGTGTTGACTTAAACAGTCATCAAGTGGTTAAGTCGAGCCATTTGTGATTCTTAATATTAACTAGGGTTGTTGTGGGCCCTCAACTCTGTTCTCTTTAGTAATCCACCAGTGTGAAAGGGGAGGTATTGAATTGCAAGTCCAAGTTCCAGTGCTAATAGTCTAGAACTTGCCTCGAATGTTTTTCTAGGCGAAATTCTAAGTGTAGCTTGGCTTGAGAAATGATTGTAGGCTCTCCTTGATCCGATTTGAAGTTTGAAATATTCCATAGCCTACCAATGTGATATCCCTAGTCAACCCATTTGAGCCTAAGCCTTTTTTTCTTTCAATAACCACGTTACAAGCCTTTATCCGTTTTGTAATGACCCTCTCTTGGCACCCAATCTTTCCTTAGCATTCTTGAGAAACAATTGGTAAAAATATAAGTTTGGGGGAGAGACGAGGAGTTTGAAAGTGATAAAAGGTACAAAGAAGAGAAAGAAAGGAAGAAAAGGGAAGGCAAAGAAAAGAAAGAAAGAACAAAAAGAAAAATGCCAAAAAGAAAGTGAATAAGGTAGAAAGTTGAAGGGATTCAAAGAAAACAATGATGAAAGGCATGGACTAAATAGAAAAGGAGAAAAATGAATGTCAAGACCAATAAAGAGTGACGTTACGTCTCTCTAGTTCCCCGAGGAAAAAAGAATTGATTCAAAGAGTCGACAAAGTATAAAATAATAAATAAAAAAAATGGAGTGCTTAAAGAAAGATGAAACCATTCTATTCCAACAAGTCCTACCTTAGTCCAAAAGCCTTCATTACATCCCGCAAAATCCCTACATGATTTCAAGTTGAGTGAGCTTACAATAGTAGTGATTTACATAAGGGGCAAGCTTATGGTACTTAGAGCCGGACTTGTGACATTCTTTTGAGAGAGATGAGCAAAATTTTCACAATCCTTGCATCGAGTGTTACATTTGAAAGTGAGATATGCTAATGGAGAGTAGAGAAGGAGGAGTTTGGGATCCACAATGACCTATATGAAAGAGCGAGCTTCCTTGATGAATAAAGTTAACTCTTGATGCTCTAGTGTCACATTAGAACTATTGTACTCAAAAAGTCAAATCATTGAATTGTTGATAATTCATACGTGTTGTGGGTAATTGTTGGTCCCAATTGATGTGTGATTGATTCACCTTAGGCCAGCTGAAATATCCCTTTTTCTAGTGGAGGTGGGAATTGCCTTAATTGCTTGAGGACAAGCAAAAGCTTAAGTTTGGGGGAGTTGATAAGTAGGGATTTTTACCGTTTATTTGCTCTCTTTTACTTGCATTTTAGCTCAAAAATGCTTAAAGGTATTTTCGGGAACTAATAAGATGTGCTTTCATGCAGGAATATTGGAAGACAAGCCAAAGAAGTCAAAATCAACTCATAAAATAGTCAAAAATGGACAAGGACCAAAACAAGGCAAACAAGGCCCACAGTGCGGACCGCACAATATTGTGTGCGGCCGCAGAACAATGAAACATCACTGCCATATGTCCTTCAGAGTATGCGGACCGCACAATTATTGTGCGGTCGCAGAAGAGGAGATTCTGAGAGTTAGCTTTTGGGCAGGCTGAAGATATGCGGAATGCACCATAATTATGCGACCACAGGATGACAAGTGCGGCCGCGCTCATAATTGTGCGGTCCGCAGAAGAGAAGAATCAGAGAGCCATGTTCCAGTCCAAGTTCAAGTGTGCGGCCGCATTCAGAATTGTGCGGTCCGCACAATCAAATGAAGTGCGGCCGCATCCCACTTTTATGCGACCGCAGAAGGCCCAGTTGACCAGTCAATCTCAGAGTGCGGACCGCACACAGAATTGTGCGGCCGCACAACCTCCGCAGGGGCATTTTTGTCAGATATTTTTAGCTTAGTATACATAGAACTTTTTGTCATTTTTAGGGCAAGTTTTGTTTTGGGAGAGCACATGAGCCGTTTTTCTTTACTGTTTTGAGTAATATAGTACTAGATTAGCTTCTAAACATTAGATTTTCTTTCCCTATTCAATTATTATGCATTCTATCTTAATTTCTTCTTGTATTTCATCATTTTTTATGAGTAGCTAAATTTTTAGCTAGGGTTGCCCAACCCTAGTGTGGGTACTTAATGGGTGTTTGATTTAGGACTTGTTTGTGATTTGGTTAGTGATATTTAGCCTAGTTCTTGCTTGAATTCAAGAAGTAATGATTGCAAACATTGATTCATGCCTAATTAACTTAGTCTCTACTTGAGGAAGAGAGACTAAGTCTAGGAAAACTTAGCTAACAAGAAATTGCGGTGAACTCAAGAAATTGATAGCCCCAATTAAAGGGTTGAATCTAGAGATAGTAAGACCCGACTTGAGCATTTATCATTCGTTTTGTGCAATACTCATTTGGAGTGGGTAATTACGTGTGATTGCTATATTACAACCCCGACCAATCAAACTTGCTCTAGAGTTTACAACTCATTAAGTAACCACCTAGGTGGAAGTCACGACCCTAGATCTTTTATCATTTGAAAAACAACCAAAACCAAAAATATTGTCTTCTAGTTTTATAATTGCAATCAATATTTTAAAGTAGAAGTAGAAACAACAAACAAGAATGTGAAAGTGTAATCTAAGGCATATCGTACAATTACACTAAATATATACCTAATCCCAATTCTAATTCCCTGAGGATTCGACTCCGACTTGCATTGGGTTTTATTATTGCTTCGACCGCCTCACTACTTATATTTGTGGTGTGAGTTTGGGCGACATCAAGTAGCTAGATTTTTACTAGGGTTGTGACCCAATCCTAGTGTGTAAACCTTATGGGTATCTAATTTAGTGCTTGTTTATGATTGGGTGTTTATTATTTAGCATTGTTCATGCTTTAATTTGTGGAATTAATGGTTGCAAACATTAGTCCATGCCTAATTGACTTAGTCTCTACTTGAGAAAGAGAGACCGAGTTTCGAAAAACTTGGCTAACAAGAAATCGGGTCAATCGAGAGATTGATTAACCCAATTAAAGGGTTCAACCTAGAGATAGTAATAACCCGACTTGAGCTTTTATCAACCTTTTTGTTTGATACCCATTTGGACTTGAGAAAGCCAAATTGGGAAAAATCACTCATTGACCGAAAGGTATTGAGTGGGTAGTTGAGAGTTGAAAGCTATAATACACCCCAATAAACAAAACAAGCATTAAGGTTTATATCTCATTAGGCGAACACCTAGGCGATGGTCATAGCCCTAGGCTTTTTACAAACTAGAAAAATATCAAAAATAATTATTCTAGTCTTAATTCTTTACTTTGCAATCCTTAGCTTTAAAATAGAAATAGAAACAACACTAATTTGTGGAAGTGCAAATTAAGATAGTTCAAATTCACACACTAGAATATATACTCCTAACTCCCATCTAGCTACCTGTGGATTCGATCCCGACTCTTCATTGGGATACTATAATTGCACTAGACCATGTCATGCCTTATTTTGTGGTGTGCATTGCGCAATAGGTCAGTCACTAACGTCAAAAAACCCCGAGATCTCCTTTCTTTGTGCATACAATACCCTACATGGCAGGTAACCAAGGAGATAGGACCAAAATAACAGGTGACTTCCCAAGCAACCTCATGAATGCCATCAATGAAAGTTGTGAAGCAGTAGGTGAGGACACAACACCCAACGTGTCCCCTAGGCGAGAGAGGTCACCCCCCACATTACAGCATAACAAAACCCAACAGAAAAGGGGCCTCCACATCTACAGAAGAAGGGACGCCCCCAGTTGTGAAAAAACTCCTCGAGCCATGACTGACCGACACGCTAGCAGGCATCCTCAACAAACCCACTCCAGGCATGACCGTAGAAATCACAAGGGCTTGCACGATACAACAAACAGACGAGCAGTGCAACCGACTCCTCCCTCCAACGACAGGTATAACTCACAATGTTACTGACAGTGCATGTGACAACTCCCTGGATGCCATTCTAAAGAGGATGGAAGAAATGGAGAATGAAAACTAAGCACTCCGAGACCAGATAAAGATCACCAAGAACGAGTTGACAAGATACCGAGCGCTCCTAAGCTGCTGCCAAAAACGGACGCCGACAGGTTCATAGAGCAGCCGTACATCGATGATGCAGTCCCGCATGCCATACCAAATACCTTCAAAATGTCTCCCTACCTCAAGATATACGAAGGAACGACCGATCCTGAAGATCATATGACTTATTACGTCACCATCGTGAAAGGCAACGACCTTGCCAAGGAACAAGTGTCCTCAATTCTGCTGAAGAAGTTTGGCGAAACCCTCACGGGGGGGGGGGGGGGGCACTAACATGGTATTCGCAGCTACCAGCCCGCTCCATTGAAACATTTGAAAAAATGGTCGATAAGTTCGTAACCGCCCATGCCGGAGCCAAGAAGAATGAGGTAAGAGTAAACGACATATTTGCTATTAAGCAGTCCTTGGGAGAGAGGCTAAGAGACTTTCTCGCCTGGTTCAACAGAGTAAGGATGACTCTGCCAAACGTATCAGAAGGGATGGCGGTCATAACTTTTCAGAACGGGATGAGTAGAGAGGGTTCAATAGCAACTATCCTCCAACTACTTGGGATGAAATCCATAATGCCTATTGTGCCGAGGTACGAGTAGATAAGGACGACCTCAACGGACCAACTCACCAGTTAACCTCAGTACAAGCCGAACCCAGAAAAGAGCAAAGAAACAGTACCAGAAGAGATCATCCGATTCCACGACCTAACAGGGAACGATATCAACCATATATCAGGGCGGCCACCGCACCCTCCCCCCGCTATGAAGGAGGCCCGTCCAGGCCAAGGACATGGACTCATTGGAACGAAAGAGGTATGCCTCCTTTATTATCTGCTCACAATTTTTGTGTGTTGCCTACATAAATAGTCTACGCTCTTGAGAAACTTAGAACAAAAGTGAAATGGCCGCCGAAGATGAGATCATTCCCGAACACCAGAAAATTCGACATCCTCTGTGAGTTCTACCAGGAACGCGGGAACAAAACAGAAGATTGCATCGCCCTTAGACAAAAAGTCATAAACATGTTACAGCAAGGGCACCTCAAAGAGCTGTTAAGCGATAAGAGGAGAACCAACTTCGCCAGAGGACGTGAACGTCAAGGCCTGCCAAAGCAGCCATTATCAGCTCGTACCATCAACACGATCATCGGCGGCGGCGGCGACACCTCTATCAACAGCGTAAAGTTTACCACCACTCACAAGCTTAAACGGTTTATCACCCGTAAACGGTACGACGGACTCGATGAAAGTATCATCTTCGATGAGTCGGATGCTGACGGTTTGATTTTCCCTCATAATGATGCCTTCATTTTTACTTTACGCATTTTAGATACCGATGTCAAACGCATCATTGTGGACGATGGAAGAGGTGCGTGCATTATCCATCCCCGAGTCCTTACCCAAATGATGCTTGAGGATAAGATAGTGTCGCGCTGTATCACGCTAACCAGTTTTAATAATGTAGTTGAGCGGACATCCGGGGAAATTACACTCCCCGTCTTCGCCGGCGGCGTGACTCTGGAGATGATATTCCACATCATGGACCAGGCCACTAAGTACAACGCCATAGTGGGACGACCATGGATACACCCCATGAGAGCCATACCTCCAGCCTATACCAAGTAATTAAATTCCCAACACCATGGGGGATATTCAGCATACGCGAGGAACATTGCACATTCCCGGAATGCTACCGTATTTCCTTGGATAGCACGGCCACCCAACATAAAAAAGACAAAGAAAAAGAGGCATAGCAATCAACAGGGTCGATGTCGAAGCAAGAAGAGACCAGAGACGTCATCATAGATCCCGACACAGTCGAGGCTACAGGTTCGACCATAGAAGAACTCAACCCCGTTCAATTGGACCTCAATGACCATAGCAAGAAGGCCTATATCGGCTACAAACTCCGCGAACCAGGTAAATTTAGTCAATTCTCAATAGCTAATGGAGGTTTGTTTGCTCTCAGCCATGCAGATAGCCAAGTGGATCGCTAACGTAGTGATGATGAAAAAGAAAAATGGGAAATGGCGAATGTGCGTGGATTTCACAGACTTGAACAAAGCATGTCTGAAGGATTCGTTCCCATTACCCTATATCGACCAACTCATCGATACAACAGTCGGGCATAAACTATTGAGTTTCTTGTACGCTTAATCATGCTATAATCAAATTCTTATGGTGGAAGAAGATCAAGAGAAGACCACGTTCATCACCCACCAAGGAACGTATATCTATAAGGTCATGCCATATGGACTGAAGAACGTGGGGGCTATTTATCAAAGATTGGTAACAAAGATGTTCAAAGACCAGTTCGGTAAGACCATGGAGGTATATATAGATGATATGTTGGTCAAGTCCGAAAGGGCAGAAGATCACATCGATCATTTGAAAGAAACTTTGACATATTCAGACGATACAGAATGAAGCTAAACCCGGATAAATGCGCATTTGGCGTAGCCTCGGGAAATTTCTTGGGTTTCCTAGTGTCGCATCGAGGGATCAAGTTCAACCCAGACCAAATCAAAGATATAAAGAGGATACCGGAACTCCTAACCACCAAAAAGCAAGTCCAAAGGTTGGTTGGACATATCGTTGCCCTATCAAGGCTCATCTCGCGGTCGTCGGATAGATGTCATAAATTATTTGGCATACTCAAGAACGACAACAGCCTCGAATGGACTCCTGAGTGCGTCCAGGCTCTATGAGAACTAAAGGCATACCTATCATCACCGCCCGTGCTTTCGAAACCCGAACCTGAGGAGCAACTCCTCGTCTATCTAGTCGTCTCCGAGGTAGTAGTAAGCGCAGTCTTGTTCCGCAAAAACAAAGGTACGCAATCTCCCATCTATTACATTATTAAAACACTTGTCGACACCGAGACGAGGTATCCACACCTCGAAAAATTGGCTCTGGTCCTGGTCGTAGCTTCACGGAAACTTAGGCCCTATTTCCAATGCCACCCCATCTCGGTCATCATGACAATTCCCCTGATGAGCATTTTGCATAAACCCGAGCTATCATGGAGGCTAGCCAAATGGGTTATCGAGCTAAGCAAGTACAATATAACATATCATCCACGAACATTGATAAAGTCATAAGTGCTTGCCGACTTTAGTGCAAAAATAATGCCTGAAGTCGAAAGGGAAGTCGTCCAAGCTTCCCTCCAAACACAAGAACTCTGGGTCCTATACACCAATGGCACATCCAATGCATGAAGGTCCAGACTGGTACTTGTACTCGAGGTCCCAGCCGGAGAAGTAATTCGTCAGTCCATAAGGTACCCGGATATGACTAACAATGAGGCCGAGTATGAGGCCGTGATTGCAGGATTAAGGCTAGCACTCAAGTATGGAGCGAAACGGCTGAAACTCCATTGTGATTCCCATCTCGTAGTCAACCAAGTCATAGGGACTTTCCAAATCAAGTAACAAAGATTGCAAAAATACCATACCGAAATCTGCAAGCTATTGCCTGAGTTCGACGAATGCCAGCTCGATCAGATCCCACGAGTGCAGAATGCCGAAGCACATGGCCTTGCCAAACTGGTCGCAGCTACCAAAAACATCACAACCGGAGATAAAAGCATGGCCCACCTCCTCAACTCATCACTAGATCAAATCGAGGTAAGAACCATAAATTTAGCTTGGTACTTGCATAATCGTATTATTGTAACGCCCAGATACAGTCTCCTTCATAACGACCTGTACAAGAGAACTTACAGCGGCCTCCTAGCAAAATGTTTGGGCCCGAATAAAACCCAACGCGTCCTCGAAGAAGTCCATTGCGGTGCTCACTCCGGCAATCGAGCACTGGTCAGATGCCTCATACGAGTGGGATACTCTTAGCCCACCATGAAAAAGGACACCGCAGACTTCGTAAGGAAATGCGAGCAATGCCAAAAGTACGCCCCAATGATTCACTAAGCAGGCGAATACCTCCACTTAGTCACGTCCTCTTGGCCATTCATCAAGTGGGGAATGGACATCGTGGGGCCCCTCCCAGCAGGATAAGGTAATGTACGATTCCTTTTGGTTTTAACTGACTATTTCTCCAAATGGGTGGAAGCAGGAGCATTCACCTAAATACGGGAACAGGAAGTAATCGCCTTTATATGGAGAAACATCATCTGTCGATTCGTCCTACCCAAGGAAATCAGCTATGACAACGGACCCCAGTTCACAGGAAAATAAAACGCAGAGTTCTTCGAAAAGTTGCATATCAAGAGGATACTCTCAACCACATATCACCCAGGGGGTAATGGGCAAGCGAAATCCTCCCACAAATCCATACAAAACATCATGGAGAAAAATCTCAAAGACGCCAAGGGGTTGTGGCCGGAAATACTACCAGAAGTATTATGGGCCTACCGAACAACTCCGAAGATGAAGACAGGAGAGACACCCTACTCTCTAGTCTATGGGACCAAAGCAGCTATACCGGTCGAGGTCGGAGAACCCAACCTAAGGTACTCACATAAAAGCGACACGAGTAACGATGAGGGTAGAAGGCAGGAACTCGACGAAATTGACAAACGAAGAGATATGGCGTACATAAGAATGGTCGTCCAAAAAAACAAACAGAACGCTATTACAGCTAGAAAGCAAAGGTACGTCCGCTCAATGTCGGGGACAATGTACTGAAGGCCAAAACTCAAGAGAGCAAAGACCCCCGAGAAGGCATGCTGGGAACGAATTGGGACGATCCGTACAAAAATCACAGCAAAAGTGAACAACGGTTCATTCCAACTAGAAACAATGGAAGGAAAGCTACTACCAAACAATTGGAACATCAATCACCTCAAATACTTCAACTCTTGAGAGAAAAAGCATCCCCCAAGTCGTACTCTTTTCTCAAGGAGCTTTTTAATGAGGCAGTGAAGGGAACACTTCTAGTCGAAGTGCGCGAGGGTAGTATCGTGGTTACTATTTCATTTCTCGACCTCTCGATACTCTCCAAGTCAACCAATGAAGGGACTAGATAGACTGGACTGGGACTGGAACACCAGCCAAAACCCAAAATCTATAATTTTCTCCAAGTATGTAACCAAAGCAACAATGTTAAAGCAATAAGAAACTTATGCTTATCAGCACACATTTTTCGTGTTAAGGATATGTTCGACCACGCTCGAACAAACACCTATCGGCCTTCGGCTATAATTTAACAAAAGGTTATGTTCGACCCCGCTCGAACAAACACCTACCGTCTCTCTACCGTGATTTAACAAAAGGTTATGTTTGACCCCGCTCGAACAAATACCTACCGGCCCTCGATCGGGATTTAACGAAAGGTTATGTTCGACCCCGCTCAAACAAATACCTACCGGCCCTCGGCCGGAATTTAACGAAAGGTTATGTTCGACCCCGCTCGAACAAATACCTACTGGCCCCCGGTCGTAATTTAATGAAAGGTTATGTCCGACCCCGCTCGAACAAACACCTACCGGCCCTCGGTCGTGATTAAATGAAAGGTTATGTCCGACTCCGCTCGAAAACATACCTACCAGCCCTCGGCCGCTATTTAAAGTGTTCGACCCTGCTCGAACAAGGACCTACCATCCCTCGGTCGCGATTTAAAGTGTTTGACCTTGCTCGAACAAACATCTATCGGCCCTCGTCCACATCTCAACAAAGAAATAAAAATATACACAAGTACAGATAATAAACCACATGAATGGAAGAAGATGCAAGGAACAACTTTGATATTTCATATACCTAAACTGTTTACAAAAGGCTCGTGAAGACGCCGGCAAAATCTACACAAAAAGTCAAAAGGAAAACTACCGGTCACCGCCATTACGGCCTTCAACATCCTTGCCAGCTTCACCTTCAACATGATCACGACCCTGACCGCTAATTCCCTAGCCATCTCGGCCCCCAGCGTTTTCGCCATCCTCACCCGGAGGGTATTTGGAATCATACCAAGCCTTATCCTCAAGGTGATCTATAGCATCCTTGTCGCCCTCATCTTCCTCACCAAGATGAGGAGTAGCCGGAACATAACCACACGCAATCAGAGCCTCGCGAACTTTGATACGAGCACCCTCAAAGTCTGCAACAAAAAAGAGCCCGCTACATGCAACTCGCGAAGCACATCCAACCGGGATTCAGCATGAATAAACTCTTCGTATAAATCATAAGGAGTGTTGGGGAAGCTGGAAGTTTCAAATGAAGAAGGTCGTTCAAGTAGTTTAGCATTCTCGGCCTCCAGAGAAACCGCTCGATCGTAAAGATCAGAGGTCTCTTTCTCCAACTCCCCAATCCTCTCATCGAGCCGCTCTTCTTTGAGCCTTACCGTTGCTAAATCATTTTCTCACTCGGAACGGAGAGTCTGGATCACCGCCTCAAGAGACTCCGCCTTCCTCAAATCCTCCAATCGAGCGGACCCCGCCTTTTCTAGCTCCTCCATCTTCTCGGTGATCTTACCACTAAGAGCCTCCACCCTGAATTGACACTAGTTGGCCTCGCAGCAAGACCACCTGAGCTTGAAGATCATTGCACTGGGCTTCGACCACCTTGCTGAGCTCGAGCTCTTCTTCCTTGCTCATCAACGTCCCCTCCAAGACGCTGCACTTCCCCACTATCCGCACTAGCTCCTCGTCTCTTGCCTTCAAGTCGTCCCTCAGT